AGAATGAGTAATTTTTTTTAAAGGAGGGCAACTAAAAGAAACTAAGTTTAACAGAATTAAATGTAAGATCCTGTACTTCAAGCTAGAAAAAAAAATAACTGCACGTATAGAATATAAACAGTATAGCCTAGCAGAAGTATGTAAGAAGAATGCTTGCGGCAGGGGCACCTGGCTGACTCCATCAGAATAGCATGCAACTTTTGAACTGTGGGTTCGAGCCCCTTGTTGGGTGTAGAGACTACTAAAATAAATAAAAGCTTAAAAAATGCTTGGAAGTTTTAGCAGATATGAACTTAATCTAAGCTAATGACTGCCAAGAAAAATACTAAGATGTTAAGCTGAATAAAGGAAGCATAGATTCCAAGCATAGATTCCAGACAGAGGAGGTGATATATCCACTCTACTCTGCTGACTAGAGTTCTAGAAGCTACAATTTAAGAAGCTACAATTTGAATATGACTAAACTGAACTGCATTCAGAAAAGAATAATCATGGTAAAAGAATCTGAGAAATGTTGAGTGGTTAGGAGATGTGTTGTTTGAAGGTGAATATATTGGGGCCATGAAAGATTCCTTTAAATATTTACTGTGCAATCACATGAGGGAGAAGATTCAGTTCATTTCATATGGTAGCAAGGGATGGAATAAGAAAAGTAGGTGGAAGCTTCACTGAGACGGATTTTTAGTTAAGAATGCAAAAGAAGTGTATAAAATTTTGACAAAAAACTAAAAATGAAATGAGTTTGAGGAAAAAGTGTCTCCATCGCTTGAGGTGCTCCCACAGAAACAGAAATTGAACTACTGTTTCTCCCTAAGAGAGGACTTAAGCCTCTCTAAAAGGATAAAGGATAAAGATCCTATTTATAATCACCACGATCATCCAAAAGCAACTTTAAAGCACCCTTACGTGTTGTGAAACTAGAGCCACCAACGGTCCTGATTTTCCCAGGATTGAGGGGTTTCTTGGAGTGTGGGAGTTACATTGCTAAAACTATAAAAAGTCCCATGCAAACTGCAGCAAATTCATCACTCCAGAGCTGAAGGAGTTTTGGATAAAGAAAGTCCTTTAAAATAAAATCTTTAAAAAAAGGGGGGGGGGGGACAAGGACATAGTCCTTGGGATTTACTAGTACAGATGTGTATAAAATTTAGATAATTATAATAAAATTATATATTTCCCCCCAAAAAAGATCAAGAAATACTAAAAATAAATAAATAAATAAAAAGAAATTTAAAAATCAAAAAAAAAAAAAAAAGAAAGGGGGGAGGGCAGCCCTGGTGGTGCGCGGTTTAGCACCGCCTGCATCCTGGGGTGTGATCCTGGAGACCTGAGACCGAGTCCCACATCGGGCTTCCTGTATGGAGCCTGCTTCTCCCTCTGTCCCTCTCTCCCTCTGCCCCTCTCTCCCTCTGTCTCTATGAATAAATAAAATCTTAAAAAAAAAAAGAAAGTCCTCTAAGTTGTAGCTGAAACACACATAGAAATTATGCAATCAAGCCTTCATTGAACCAACACATGAATTAATGAAGGCATTGTGTTTTATTTCCCATATAAATGAATTTTCCAGATATTTGAAGTTTACTCTTTAAAACCAGCAAATTTATATGTATTAGATTTAAAATGTCTTAGAATACATTACATAGGTCCCTGTGCTCTTTAAAATGCCTTCTTTTTAAATTTTTTTTTTAAGATTGTATTTATCCATTTGACAGAGAGAGAGAGAGAGAGAGAGCGCTCACAAGCAGGGGGAATGGGAGCAGAAGAGAGAGAAGCAAGCTCCCCGGTAAGCAGGGAATCCAAGGCGGGGCTGGATCCCAGGCGGGACACTGGGGTCATGACCTGAGCCGAAGGCAGAGGCTTAACGGACTGAGCCATACAGGTGCCCCTGAATATCTTCTTTTAGAAAATATATTAGGAAAGAGTTAGGATTAGAAGATAGAGCAATAAAACAAAATAGGTAAGACTTAAGTTTCGAAGTTTGACAGAGGTGGGTTTGAACTTGTCTCTGTCCATTATAGCACGTCAAGTTATTTAACCCATGACCCAGTTTTCTCAACTGTAAATTGGGGATAATATGTATCTACTACATAGAATATTTCCCAGTAGTGACGCCTAGGTGGCTCAGGGGTTGAGCATCTTCCTTCAGCTCAGAGCTCTGCCCTCCAATCCCACATCGAACTCCCCACGGGGAGCCTGCTTCTCTCTCTGCCTATGTCTCTGCCTCTCTGTGTCATTCATGGATGGATGGATGGATGGATGGATAGATAGATAGATAAGTTAGTTCCCAGTAGACCATGGTAAGCACTCAGTAAGCAGTAGCTATTTAACAGCTCTAGCAGGTTGCTCTGCCTTTTAGATCATCTGAATGGACTTTGCTGTCTGCTGTCAGAATCTCTGGTCTGTGTACTCGATCTCTTTATTTTATGCACAATTAAATGACAGTGTTAGGGTACTTAAACTTCTGAAGGAACAAAATGCATGTGATTTTTGATGGCTGATTATTCACTGATATGAATATAGTCCCTGGACTGTATTCCAAATACTTGAGAGTTTTGGAAACATTACCTACCTGTAACTGTGGCATTGCAAAAATCAATCATCTGCTTACCTAACCATCAGTTTGAAATTTATTTTTTTAACAGTTTGAAATTTAAATGATTGTTTTAAAACATAATTTTACCAAGACTCTTCTCTTTGTTCTACCATTTTGTCCAGAAAAAAAAATCCTTATTTTTTTCTTTTGGTTTCTTAAATACTGAAGTACTTGGACAATATATGCATCTGAATGTTACTAGTTTTCTCAGGGAAGCCCAAGAGGGTAACATTCCTAAAGCACTAGAATGAGACTTTTAAGTCCATAGTTGCTCTTCCCTTGTAGCTTTACCCTCGATCCTATATGAAAAAGCAGTAGATAAATATGCATCGGAGATTCACCAGAAGAGTTGAAAAAAAAGAACATGGAGGCAGACTTAACATGGCTGTACTGACATTCCCTATCCTCTCTCTCTCCACTTTCTACCTGCAGATCTAACCATGCCAACCCAAACCTGTGGGTCATCACGTAATCAACTGTACTCCTTATTACAGGACTGGACAGAGATTACCCACTAAAATTGTTCTCTTAAATCCATACTACTCCCCGCAGGTGTTCCCTGGGAAGGAGGAAGGACTTTAGAAGAGCAGATAAAGTCAAGCATACAGGCATCATTCACATATCTGTCAGAAAATTATGGAATTAAAAAAAAATCTCTTCAGGCCAAAGTTAACCTGTTTGAAACTGACCACTGGGAGTTGGCCTTCTGTCTAAAGTTTTGGCTGTAAGTAAACAAACAACAAAAAAAATTAAAGACCTTGTTTTTGATCAGACTGTTCAAAGAAAGACTTTTGTGGGTAAAAGTTCACTAGACTGAAACAATAGAAACATTTGAGAGTGGAATATGGCCTTCACCCTTAAAGCAGAAGTCTGTGTTCACCTTTGCTGGCCTCCTTCATGAGCATGGACACAACCTACTTCACCTCTCAGAATATTTGGCATGTTCATCTTTGATATTAGGAGAGCCTATTAGGAAGATACTATCTATGTAGAGCAGTTGGGCATTTAGGTCTAGGAAAAGCTGGCAACAACTTTCAGCAGGGTTGGTCTTTACTTGGCAAATAACCTCTTGAACAATATTTAATGATTAGAAAGTAAGAGGAAAAAAGCAGAAACACTCTCACTCTCATGGCTCAGTATCAATCCCACTGTAGATTCTCAAACTGCTTATAAAAACCATCCAGAACTGAAAAAGCAGCCAGTCTGACCCTTCTCTTGATTTAAACCTTTTTAACCCTTAAGAGAAAATGAACTTAATCTTCAATTAATGAAGCTCTAAGTGAGAAAAGGCCAAAAGTAATATTTCTTTTTTTAAGAGTTTATATATTGATTCGAGAGAGAGAGAGAGAGAGAGAGAGAGAGAGAGAGAGAGACAAAGAGAGAAACAGGCTCCATGCAGGAAGCCCAACACGGGACTCAATCCTGGGTCTCCAGGATCACACCCTGGACTGAAGGCGGCACTAAACCATTGAGCCATCTGGGCTGCCCCAAAAGTAATATTTCAAGAGTATTAAGGTTAATTACATGTCCATGCATTTGCCTATGTGTTCCAGTTGTGGTAACCATATGTCCTAAATTTTCAGGGCAAGTCCAGATTTTATATATCCTCTCTCAGAAGTCCTGTACTCCTCAGGTTATGAAGTTCAGAAAATTTTGTTTGTAAAATATGATTATTTTAGCTGTAACCTTATAAGCTCTGTTAAAAATAATGATATGGAAAGCTGTTTGTTAACCTTAAAACCAAAATTGTCAGTTATTTTACCAGCAAAATGGGTTGATTCAGGAATAATGGAGAAGTGTGACTTAGGACACGCAAGCTATGACAAAACCATAGAAAAGTCAAACAGATAAAGAAGAGGAACCTTATATTATAAGAAAAAGGAGGTTGAGAGGGGTTGTTTGGAATGCAAGTCCATTGAAGGAAAGCAAAAGTTTAGGGTGATCTTGCTTTCTCTTTGGCTGGGTTGCTGGGGTACTGGATTTCTTGAATGAGATGGAGTGCATGTACTTTCCTATTGGAACCTGTAGTCGATGATTCTTTCCTGTTGATTTTTGGGGTCTGTAATTGGCAATTCTTCCTGTAATTAATGTAGGGCTACCCTTTTAGCCTTCCAAGAATTCTAGACTCCCAAGGCCACTTTAGTGAGGTTTCTTTTTATTAATTTTCACGTGCTTTAGACAGAAGAAAAGCTGTGAAAGCTTTTACTCTCCATGACATCTTACCAAGGTAATAAGTCATATCTCCTGTATGATTTTTAAGGCGCACCAAAAGAACAGGGCATAACACAATTACTGCTTGAATGATTCTTTTTTTTAAGATTTTATTTATTCATAGAGACACAGAGAGAGAGGCAGAGATACAGGCAGAGGGAGAAGCAGGCTCCATGTAGAGAGCCTGATGTGGGACTCGATCCAGGGTCTCCAGGGTCTCCAGGGTCTCCAGGATCATGCCCTGGGCTGCAGGCGGCGCTAAACCGCTGCGCCACTGGGGCTGCCCTGCTTGAATGATTCTGACCTCCATGCTCTAGCCTAAGTGAAGAAAGGAGAGGGATATTGGTTTATATACCTTCTGAGTGTCCGTTTCCTAATTTGGAAATTACACGGTCTTCCCAGGTGCCCACTGCATCCTTTGCTGTTCACCAGTCATTTGTTCCATCATGGGCCACCACTCACTTAACTGCAGATCAATGCCCCGAACTCCTGGACACAGTTCTCTTGTAGGATGTTATGCCCTGTGATGGATACAGCATAAGAGTAAATGTGAGGCAGGGCATACTTCCGTTTGCAGTTTCATCCCTTACCCTCCACATCTCTACCACACAAGGTAGTGTGGTCTATTAGGCTAAATGCATGGTAGAAGTAACTTAAGGAAGTCACAGTGTAGACAGAGGGAAAAAAACTTTAAGCTGAATGCAAAATCTCTGTAATTGCCCAACTCACAGTGCATTTGATAGGCATGAGCTCTATTTAAACTGTCTTCCTGGAAATCCCATCAAGACTTTCACTTAATATCATTAATTAGAATTAGGCTCCAAGGTGCCTGGGTGGCTCAGTTATTTAAGCATCTGCCTTCAGCTTGGATCATGATCCCTGGATCCTGGGATCAAGCCTCCTGTAGGGCTCCCTGCTCAGCAAGGAATCTGCTTCTCCCTCTCCTTCTCTCCCTCTCCCTACTTGTGTGTGCTGTCTCTTTCTCAAATAAATAAATAAAAGCTTAAAAAAAAAAGAAAAGAAACTTAGACACCTGGCCACGTAGACTTGCTGCTTGAAGAGTGCAGTCCATATTCTACTCTGAAATTTTTCATGCACTCTGGTTTCAGTCTAGTGAACCCACAAAAGACTGTAGAAAGGAGGCCAGCAAAATTAAGTGCCCTGACCTCTCCCCCACCATAAGAGAAAGTCAGGTTGGAGAACAAAATGAGATTAGTGATACTAATTGGACAAGTTATATATTTTTTGTACATTCCTAATTTTAGTGTATCAATGGTAGTTCAGCTAAATAATCTATATTTTTTTAAGATTTATTTACTTGAGAGACAGAGTTGGGACTGGCAGAAGGAAAGGGAGAGAGAGAATTTCAAGCAGACTCCTTGCTGAGTGTGGAGCCTGCCTTGGAGCTCCATGTGGGGCTTGATCCCCAACATGGGGCTCCATCCCACAATCCCAAGATCATGACCCAAGCTGAAATCAGGAGTTGGACACTTTACTGAGCTACCTGGGTACCCCTAACTAAACTTTACAATCATCCCAGCAAAAGGAACAAAATATTACACCTTTGCCAGGAGATTGCCTTGTAGGCAACCCAATCTATAATCTTTCTATGCTACTTTCAAGTCTGAGAGCCCCGCCATTTCCCGACCTCTGCTCTTTGGCAAGTTCTAGTCATTATCCATGGAGTTGGTCTCATCCCAGGAACTGTCCCAGCAGTTCGTTCTTCAAGTCTGTTATTTAGTCAAAACAACACAAATGCTTTAGACAAGTCCCACGGACTGACCAGACATGGCTCTCAGGTGGGCATGTGAGCCCTACAGAATAGTCCAGGGGGGCACATGAAATCTCCAGTTGTGATCCCTGTTTGCCTCTTCACTGCTGTGAGTAGCAAATATGCCTCTTTATTCTTAAAATTGTCTAGCTAGTGACTATTAGAACACATGCATGTACATCTTTCAGGGGCCACTGTTAAATCACAGAGACAACATAAAATCTAAAGCCCTTAAACTGCCTACAAAGCAAATTCTTCTGAAAGATATATCTGATCTGCCTATGTTGCTATTTTTATGGCCTTTAAATGATTTTTCATGTCTTTAGGAGGGGTATGCAATTCACATTTTTCCCCAGTCTCTACTCTTCCTTATTATTCACATGCAGCTGCATCACTCATTTTATATACTGGCCTGACCTTGGAAAATGTTTGAGTTCCCTGCATCTAAACTCACAAGGAGATATACATTTTCCTAATTACCCTATAATATGTAAACAGCTCTCCTCTCTCTCCCTTCTGCTTTTAACCCATGGCCTTTGGATCTTCAAGTTATCATAGGCCACTCCCTTAGCTATTCCCAAACCACATGAAGTTTTTGAACTTCAAAAGGATCTTATTTTTGACTTTAAGGATCTAGGTAAGTCCTTTAAAAAAAAGGATTTATTTATTTATTTATTTATTTATTTATTTATTTATTTATGGGGAGGGGGTACAGAGCCAGAGAATCTTTCAAGCAGACTCCCTGCTGAGCGAGGAGCCAGACTCAGGTGTCCATCCCACAACCCACAAGACCATGACCTGAGCAGTAACCAAGAGTCAGGTGCCCAAACAGCTGAGTCACCCAGGTGCCCCAAATCTAGGTAAGTTCTTAGCAAGACTTCTCCTCTTCCCCAGCCTTTGAACAACTGGATAGAGGAGCCTTGATTAGTGACTCCTTGATTAAGGTGGCCTTGATTCTTCAGGCCACCTTAATAGTGGCTATTTTCCAAGTTCTTCCTTACCATTCTCATTGATAGTGCTTGGAATACTGATAACTGGGCAATAATAATTCCTTCAGGATTTAGTTTAATTCTTTTCATTTCCTCCTGTTGTGCCACCAACATTTTCATGTGTAAAAAAACAAATATGTACTGAGCTCCTGCTGTGATTCAGGCACACTTGTGCTGGAATAGAGCAATGAACAAAACAAAACTCCCCATCCTCATGAAGCTTACATTCTAGTAAATGAAACAAGACTTCTGGAAAGATGGCAGAGTAGGAGTATCCTAAGCTCACCTGTCCCATGGACACAGCTAGAAAACAGCCACATCAGAAACCCATAAAACAACCAGAAGACTGGCGGAACAGACTTCTCATAGTTAATCATAGAGATGTAGCCACATCTAGTAAAATAGAATCCCTATTGTTAATGTCTGTAATGCTGAAGATTTCATATACTCCGGCTTTAATTTGGAATTATCTCATTCATGTAATCAGGAGATTTTATCTCAACTGAAGTAAAGTAATTGCATGTTGTTAAATACCAAATTAGTAATCAAATGGTCAAATGTAACTGATCTGTGACTAGTTAGCTCAATAGATAGGGAAAGGTATGATGACATCAAGGTCTTTAACTCTTGGGCTCATTCTATGCACAAATTAGTTAATATCTTTCAGTGTTATTGCTACTTTGCTAACCTGGCCAGTCCTCCTCCAGAGGCATGCAGTTGGAAACAAGAGAAATCAGGGGATGATAGATTAGGTGTCTTTTAGCACTGTTAGAAAAACAATTTAACATTCACATCCTGATGATGGTGTTTTAAGAGGCCTGCTGGACAATAGTGTCATTGTGATCAAACGTGGCCCAGAGCAGTCTTCAAGCTGAAAGCTCTCCAGCTTCCTTCTGTCTCCACAGCCAGGAGAATCATGAGGGAGTTCTTTTCCTTGGATAAGATCCTTGGGATGGGATTGCAGTCCTTTGATTTCTTTTTTTTTTAAATAAATTAATTTTTATTGGTGTTCAGTTTACCAACATACAGAATAACACCCAGTGCTCATCCCGTCAAGTGTCCCCCTCAGTGCCCGTCACCCACTCACCCCCACCCCCCGCCCTCCTCCCCCTCCACCACTCCCAGTTCATTTCCCAGAGTTAGAAGTCTTTATGTTCTGTCTCCCTTTCTGATATTTCCCACACATTTCTTCTCCCTTCCCTTATATTCCCTTTCACTATTATTCATATTCCCCAAATGAATGAGAACATACACTGTTTGTCCTTCTCCGATTGACTTACTTCACTCAGCATAATACTGCAGTCCTTTGATTTCTGACTGCTTCCATGGTATAGTCTTCAGTCTTCAAGAGAGTTTCTGAATTAGACTGTTAATGCTGGTCACTTAAGAGCATAACAAATATGATGAGGGTGTTTTGACAACTTAAGCTGACACATTCTTGTATTCAGACACATCTGGAGGACCTGGCTGCCAGGGTTTCATATATGTGAAGAATTAAGAAAGAGCTTATTCTAATGGAAGAGGGGACCACAAGACAGGGTAGACCACAAGAGAGGAGTGTTTCTGGGCACAGACCAAATTTATGTTTGAGTCCTAGGGAAAGGAAGTTAAAACAAATGGCCTATAAAACCCAAAAGAGTAGTTTCCATAAAATCTCTAAGTCATCAGGACCTTAAAACAGCTCTCTGGTGGCTGTGTCACTGTTTGGAGAAAAAATGGGGTGAAGAGTGTTTTTTCCAGGCAGAATTTTTTTTAAAGATTTATTTATTCATAAGACACACATACACAGAGGCAGAGACATAGGCAGAGGGAGAAGCAGGCTCCCTGCAGGGAGCCCGATGTGGGACTCCATCCTGAATCCTGGGATCTGGAATCATGCCCTGAGCTGAAGGCAGACGCTCAACCACTAGGCCACCCAAGTGTCCCCCAGGTAGAATTGCTATTGCGAGTATAAGAGACTGAAATGGTCAACATTAGGAAACCCAAAGAAACAGAGACAGCATCACCCTTCAGTGATCTTTGGTGATGTAGCAAAGACATTAGTAGTACTTCAGGTGCTTTTGGCTGTTAGCACCAGTGTGTGTATACAGTTTGGCTTAAGGATGACAGGAGATTGCACTGAAGTGAAGTGGAAAGGAAAAAGTGCTTGTAGCAGTGGTTAAATGTAGTGGTTAAGACTGTGGTTCTGGGGCATCTGGGTGGCTCAGTTGGTTGGGTGTCTGCCTTCAGCTCAGGTCATGATCCTGAAGTCCTGGGATCAAACCCTGAGTTGGGTTCCCTGCTCAGTGGAGAGTCTGCTTCTCCCTCCCTCTCCCTCTGCTCCTCCCTCCATTCCTGCTCTCACTCTCTCTCAAATAAATAAATAAAATCTTTTTTTAAAAAAGCCTGTGGTTCCACAGATTTGTCACTGCCAGAGAAGGAAGTTCTAAATGTATGGAAAGAAAGAAAGCTAGGATGAATCCCACAGTGCTGGACTGGAATTGGAAAAATCAGTATGAGCACATTGTTTCTAAGTTTGTAAGTGTTCAGTGGGGAGGTTGTTTTCTGAGGGGACATCAATGACACACTAGTGCAAATTGGCACACCTAAAACCCAAGTCTTTCTAAATACTATTCTCCACTAAAGGAACCAGAGCTTAGAAAAGTGGCTGATGTCAAGGCTGGTACTAGTGAAATACTAGGAAAACCTGGACTATTATGTGATAAAGTTAGGAAGCTCAAAGAACTTTAGGGCTATGTCAAAAGGACAGTTTGAAGGGACT